ACGGTCCTCTGTTAAATAAAATCTGATTTATGGTATTATGTTTTTACTTCAATAATCTGAATCAGGAACAGTTTTACTTGAAGTATTTTAAAGAAAAGTTGACATTTTCACTTTTATTATTTCACTTAACAGATTGTTTTGTGTTTCCAGGAGGGCCACTCAGGCCAGCTCTTAGTCCTGGGGGCTACAAACAGACCCCAGGCCCTGGACCCTGCCCTGCGCAGACCGGGACGCTTCGACAAGGAGCTGGAGGTGCGTCCCACCGGTCAGCGCGGCTCGTTCTGGTGCTGATGTGGACAAACGTTGGTCATCTGTGCTGTTGTGTCCCTCTGGCTTCCTGCGGGCAGGTGGGGGTTCCCGGCGCTGCGGAGCGGGCAGATATTCTGCAGAAGCAGCTGACCTTCGTACCGTGCAGCGCCACCAAGGAGGAGCTGACGCAGCTGGCAGACGTGGCTCACGGGTACGTGGGAGCCGACCTCGCAGCTGTTTGTAAAGAAGCAGGTGAGTCGAAGGTGTCACAAATACACAGGCTTTGAAAAAAAACAGGTGTCTCAAACTGCCTCCTCATATTTCAAATCTAATGTTAAAACCCAGAGCACTTTTGTTGATTTCAACCATCAGTATTTGTGTCATTCAGGGCGCGGGTGCTTTTATATTTGTTTTTTGTTATTTTAKTAAACTTTTCATGTTTAAAACTTTGTACAAATATTATTTTACCATGTAAACACTTTGAGATCACTTCTATTCCATGAAAAACGTCTCTTTAAAATCTACTTCAGGAATTATCTTTTGCTTTTCTTTGACACTTTGATTAGCCTTTTTGCTTTATCTTTTAAGTTGGCTTTTTACTACTTTTAGCTACATGTTTGCTATTATGTTTTATTAGCTAGCCATTTATTAGTTTTAGTGCCTAACAAACTTTTTGATACTTTTATATTTTAGCTTTTTGTTACCTTTAGCTTTTAGCTACCTTTTTGCTACCATACTTGTTAAAAAACTGTACTTTTAAGGTTAAACAAATGTTCATAATTAACGTAAATAAATTACAAGGTAAAAGGGGCGTGGAAATTTCTCTTTTTTGTATTGAAAAAATATCGAACCGTGAGACTAAAGTATCGAACCAAACCGAACCGTGAATTTCCTGTATCGTTGCACCCTAATACCTATATAG